GCAGTTAACACACACACACACACACACACACACACACACACACACACACACTCCCGCCCCTCTCATCAGCTAAGTTAGGGGTCCCCTAACTTACTTCTAAAGCAGGCACTGATAGGGACACCTGTGTACCTTGTTCACAGCAGCATCAGAAGGAAGCAACCCAAGTGTGCATTGGCAGTGAATGGATAAATGGGCGGCAGCACACCCACGCAAGGGAGCCCTTCAGATTAGAGCGGAAAGGCACCTTTCCAGGACAGGGACGAGCATGGCTTCCCTCCAGTCAAGCCACCCAACCAATAATTAGGACTGGGATCACATCCTCAGCAGGGGAGGTGGGGAAAGGAAAGGGAGGAAGGGAGGAGGGGAGGGGGGAAGGAGGAGGAAGGGAGGAGGGATGGGAGGGAGGATGGGGAAGAGAGAAAGGACTGGAAAAGGAGGAGGGATGGAGAAGGGAGGGGGGAGGGGGAAGGGTGATAAGATTAAAAAGGTTGATTATTGAATCTACTTTTTAAAAAGGAACTACTTGTTTTACATAGGATAAGTAATGAAAATTTTTTGTCTGAATCTGTCAAATGTTAATGGACTGGACATTGTTAATGTAATTCTTGACCATAACCTTTTTTTATTTTAGACAAAAAAGGGGAAATGTGGTGATATTGTGTTCCCCCAAATATTGTGCACCCTAATAAACTTATCTGGGGTCAGAGAACAGACAGCCACTAGATACAGAGGCTAGAAAATGGTGACACACACACCTTTAATCCTAGTATTCCAGAGGCAGAGATCCATCTGGATCTCTGTGAGTTCAAAGCCACACTGGAAACAGCCAGGCATGGTAACTCACGCCTTTAATCCCAGGAAGTGGTGGCAGAAAGCAGAAAGGTATTTAAGGTGTGAGGACCAGGAACTAGAGCTGGTTAAGCTTTTAGGCTTTTAGCGGCAGTTCAGCTGAGATCTATTCGGATGAGGACTCAGAGGATTCCAGTCTGAGGAAACAGGATCAGCTGAGGAATTGGCGGGGTGAGGTTAGCTGTGGCTTGTTCTGCTTCTCTGATCTTTCAGCGTTCACCTTAATATCTGGCTCCCGAGTTTTATTAATAAGACCGTTTAGAAATTCGGCTACAGAAAGGGGGGGGGAGGAAGAGGGATGGGGAAGGGAGGGAGGAGGGAGGGGAAGAGAGGAAGGATGGGGAAGAGAGGAGGGATGGGGAAGGGAAGAGGGATGGGAAAGGGAGGGAGGAGAGAGGGGAAGAGAGGAAGGATGGGGAAGGGAGGAGGGAGGGGGTTGGGGGGACTGTAGAGTCATGAGTTTCAAGGCAGGCAGTGCAAGAGCAGCTCTGAAATCACAGTCTGTGCGGCAGAGGGGTCCGATGACGAAAGTGCTTCCCGGGGAACCCACCCCAGCAGTCAGTATCTGAGCCCTCAGCTCAGACTCCCCGTCATACCCCGCTGGTTATGCTTTAGATCTGTTTGGAATGTTCTATAAACCGTGGCTCCAAGTTTTCTGGTGAGTCTTCAGTTTTGTGTAAAGCTGGGCACATTTTTAGCTTCTCCCTGCCCCAGTTTCCTCGTGTATACAGAGGGACTGTTACTAATTCCCCCGTGAAGATCTGAGTGCTGAGTGAGATTACATAGCCAAGCACCAAGCCCACAGCAAGCATTCCATAAACAGCACCCATCACGGTGGTATAAATTCCACATGGCTCTACTGGAATCTACTGACCACTGTGCAACAGCCAAGTCAGGACTCCAACCCTTAGACCTCGGCTAAATTCACCCAGTCCAATAATGCCAAAGTCATGAAGACTTTTACAAAATTGGCTTTGTATACAGGAAGTGGCTGAGTGACCAGATGCCACGTGAGATGGTAGGTCTAATGAAGCTGATACTAAGATGACATCATAAACCAAGCCCTTGAATCCTCAGAACAAGAGTCATTCACTTCACAGGAGGAATCCCCTCTCCTCTTGGGTCTTGGATCCTGGGAATTTGATCACAAGACACAAACTATTATGAATCACACTGCTATTAGATGGACACCTGCAAGACTTCCCCAATTCTCTTGAAGAGATCCTTTGACTTTGGGGCTTTATTAGAAGACACAGTGTGGTCTAGCAAATGCTTTGGTTGTTGTTTACACCATTCAAAAGTGTGCAAAATGGTGTAAGTCAAAATTCTAAACGTGAGGTCAAGAACACGTGATGTGTCAATACCTTTCTGGTACTTGTAACAAATGCAATCTGGTGTATGTATCTGTGGTGTGTGTGTGTGTGTGTGTGTGTGTGTGTGTTGCTTATATGCATTAAGTATTACACACACACACACACACACACACACACACAACACTAATAATATCCTATTTTTACAAGTGGAGAAACTGGAGGCACAGGCTGAAATAATGTACCCCAAGTCTCCCATCAGTGGTAGACAGACTCACATCAAGGTCACGAATTGGTCTGCACACACCCAGTTTACCCACAGCCCCATAAACGCCTATGGTGATGCTAGAGAAAATTAGGGCACGAGAGACTGGTTATGCGCCCAGCTCGCTGCCCATTCTTGCTTCTTCTGAGCTGTTTCCTCCACTCACAGCACCCAGTCAGCTTCAAAGACTCCCAGAAAGCCTGCTTCCCCAGGGCCCTCAGGACCCCTCCTGACCTCGCCACACCCCATCTTGCTTGTTGTTTTTATTTTTCCAGTATTTCTCAATTTGAAAACAGAACCCATCACTGCTGATTATTTTATCTAGTGCCTTAAGTCACTGTCCTCGTCCTCAGACCAGATGTCCACAAATAAACTAAGAGGCCTGCAAACGGCGGCCACAGACGACATCCAGGCCTGCTGGTCTAGCCTGAGACACTCCTACCCTGCCATCATATTATAATCCTTCATTCCTGGGCTGTCAGTCATCTCAGACTATAAATTAGAGAACTATATATGAGTTCCCTGCCACGCTTAAATACCAGCTAAAAATATCGCCCCAGGCTGCCTTTAATTTGGAGCAGGACATCACAACACTGCTATATCATCGCCGAGGCAGATTCTGAAAGGAGGCAGGAATTTTCCAAATATATACATACTGTTCTCCAACCCAATAAAACTCTTCGCTCGGGTACAGTGTGGCCCTGAGCTGTCAGGTTCCCTACTTGCCACAAGTCCTGAAAATAGGATGATGTGGCTAACTGGAAACAGAGAGACAGCAAAAATGAAATCTGTACAGTGAAGACAAGAGCAAGAGACAGGGTGGGACAGAGAAACCTACTTTGCCTGGCTGGAGTGTGACCCCCAATCTGCATACCGGAAACTACTTTACCCCATATGTGGTGGTCAGGCTGGGGGAACCTTTAAGAGGTGGGCCACTACCCTGTGAAGTGACTAAGGTAGTTTTCACAGGATGAGAGAGGGTTCACAACCTGGAGAGGGTTGTTACAAAAAGTACCGCCTGGCCCTGGAGTCCTGCCCCTTCCTGTCTCACGTGTGATCAGCTCTGCATTTGCAGTCACACCTATTCTATCTCTCCACCCTGTGACAGAGTCAGGAACCCTCACCAGGACAACAGCACCATGAGGTCTGAACCACCAGCCACCAGAGTCATTTGTCAGATACGACTTAGTATTTAAAAAAAAAAAAAAAAAAAAAGCATAAAACAAAATCCCCAGTGTTCAGTTACAGCAGAAGAAAATGGAAATCTAATAAAAAAAAAAAAAAAAAATCCCAAATTCTAAAACATTAAAGGAAAGTCATTCCGGGCTCCCCAGTACCAAACACAGCCACACCACCTCCAAAATATTCCACTCCTACTATGTGGCAGTCTTCAGACTAGAACCTCAGTAAGGTGAGTACCAAAATATCCACTTGATGGATGAAAGAACGCAGTTTCTGTCAAAAGCACTGATGTCTGTGAGTTACTAAGATCTCAAAGTTTGTTCTGTCTGCTCAAAGCCCAGATCTTTTCCAAGATGCCATGTCGTATCTCACCCTCCACCCATCCCAGGACAGAGTTCAAAAAACAAAATAACTTCTCTTTAAAAATGAGATTCCCCATTAAAATCTATCTGCTCTGCAGATGAAGGAAGACCTCCGTGTTCGCTGAACTGGCCCCATGTGCCCAGAGCCAACCAGCTTCTTCTACCTTGTGCTCATGAAGGAGGACCATGAGGAGCTGTCAATCACTTGCTGTCCACTTAATATGGTGGACAACACTTTCCTCAAGATCTTCTGTGCTTGGCTTTTGTTTTTTTGTTTGTTTGTTTGTTTGTTTGTTTGAAGGGGGTCGGGAGAGCAACTTGGTTATCTTCCTGGTTGATTCTCTTTGCTTGGGTTTATGAGGATCATGTCATGATAACTATGACTTGAGAATCTAAGTTCAACAAGCTCATGTCAATGTACCACTGACTGCTCCCTCAACACATGGCCAGAGCTCTGACTATCATTTCCATTTTTCAGCTAGGTCATTTTGAGGCCACCTACTTCCAAAGCCTATACAAACTTCAGTATCATATTCAATCACTTTGCAAACTAAACAGGCTCTCCTATTAGTGGGGTCATTTGGTGTTCATATAAAGTCAACAGAAGCGTCATTCGCACATGAACTCTGACATTAAATTTCCTGGACATAAATCCAGCTCCATCTCATACCCACTGTGTGACCATGGAACAGACACTCAGCCTGTCTGAGCTTATTTTCTCACACATAACATGAAAATGTTACAGCACACAAGACTCTCTAGGAATTAAATGAACTAAGCCATAAAGGGCATAAAGTATTCAAGGAGTTTATGGACCTTTCCCAGGTCTCAGAGATAAATGTGGCAGGGACAGGCCATCACACTGCTTCTAAAAGAGGCCCTTTTTTCTGATGGCCTCATGTCCTCCAACTCTAACTCGTGTGGCTTTGACCAGAACACTTGAGTTCAATGATTCTAAATATTACACAGATATTTCAAGAACAATATAGGACCTACAACTTGAAATAACTGTCTAGGACTGAAGACAACGGGAACAAGCTCGCCAGGACTTGAGCGGCCAAGACAAAGATGATTAAGGGAAGGTGTCAGAAAAAGTCCTTTCAAGACAGTCTGGAAGACATTAAGAAGCAAATGAAAGAGAAAAGGAATAAAAACTTGGCAGAGATTGGCAAACACAAGTCCTTTATTGCCGCACCATGCCAAGTACCCACTAACACTTCTACACTGCTGAAAAATTACCAACAGAACAACAGGTTGTTAGTTTTGGCTTTGGAAAATGAAAAATCCAAAGTGAGAGAAGCCCAAGATATCACCCTACAGCTGGGAAGAGAATGTTACTACCTTGCATGTCAGCTATACACTGTGAAACAGAAGCTAACTTCCCAACCAAGTGGAGAAACTGATCAGAGCCAGACAGGATGTCCCTCAGAAGTGGTCTCCAGTAGTGACAACACCATCGGGGACTTGTCTGCGAAGACCTTTCAGCAAATTGCTATTGAAGAAAATGACTGGCTATTCCAAACCAAAGAACCAAGTCCCACTGTTCCTCCAGACACACTGAGGACTGATTTTGATTCGGGTAAAGTCGAATCTACTGATGATGTCTTACCTAGAACTGTGTCTTTCCGTCGCCACTTAAAGATTTTAGTAATGTAAGTTGCTCCACTGCTTTGGAGGATTGTGAAGCCAGTCATTGGGCGGGACAGTGTTCGGAAGTTAGAAGAAGTGGGTGTAGAGACCCAACTGTAACTCTGCACAAACTTGAAAGTGTAGCACAGAATGTTTGTCTGTGGAACACGGACCAAATAAACTTATCCCCTAGACTGACGTGCCCAGAAAAGAATGCCAAAACAAAAGAAGTCATTTTACCATCTAAACCTGAACAAATGAAAAGTATGCATAGATGTGCACGAAAAAGAAGAGCCAACCAGAGATGCAAATCAAAACCCTCCTTGAGGTGTAAGGACAACAAAAGCAAAGATAAGCAGACTTTACACCCCACAAAACTGAATGCCTCTACTGGTTCCAGCGACACTTATGATTTTAATCTCGAAGAGTGTGTTCACCTCTCCCCTTTCCGACAAAAAATGAGCAATGGCTGCAGTGGAGAAATCAACAGCAGGGACTTGGAAGAGAGTGCTTTCGAACTGAATGCCTCTGAGGATGAGTCTGATGACCTCTACCTGCCTCCTTACAAGCACTTGGAAGACCACACCAGAGTCAGACAGAGTCACCAGGCTTCGGCCTAAAAGAGGACTCCAGTACACAGGTAAAAAAGATAGAGAGAAGGCTCCCCCAACCAGAACTCCTACGGTATCCCACCCAAGAATCAAGAGTCACCTGGTCATAGACTAAAGGATGTCACCAATATCCTGGGGCACCCTGTAGTGAAAATCAGGAAACTTTCTCTGTCTCCAAAAAGGAATGAAGACAGCCCGGAGTGCCTCTGCCTAAGCTCAGGTACACCACCATCACAAACTACGAAGAGCCGACCCTCGCTTCAAAGGTAAGAAGTGGACACCCTTTCACAGACTTGCGTTTCTTGAATTCTCCTATTTTCAAGCAGGAAAAGGATATGAGACGTCCTAAAAGAACTGCAAAGCGAGCACAGTAACGCCTTTTGTTGGATGCTGTCGAAGATGATCCTTCTCTTTTACCCAGTAGACTCCGTGAGACAGTGTGCAGTGGGCAGCACCATCCCTTATCAGGATGTCCCGTGGATCTATACTTTGTAATAATTGCTACCAACATCTAAAATTTTCCAGCATCTTTACTTTCTTCCTTAAGCAGGGGGAATTACAGAGTTGACAAGAAGTACAGATAGGATACAAATCTTTCATAAATCCTTGACATCACAGTAAGACATACCATCAGTTGCTGAGAATCCCTTATTCTGCTCTCATACTGGTTCTTTGGGTAAAATATATATGGAATCACGACAAAGAGAATTGATGGTTTTGGTTCTGGGACAAAATAACTGTTGTGAATTCTCGGTGTGTGTGATGTCATTCTTTAGAATCAACATGTCATGGACCTCAGTGCTGGGGATGTCTTTCTGTATGCTGTGAATTGTTGCTCTGATTGGTTAATAAATAAAAGGCTGACTGGTCAGTAACCAGGCAGGAAGTATAGGCAGGACAAGCAGAGAAGAGAATTCTGGGAAGTGGAAGGCTGAGTCAGGAGATGCTGCCAGTGGCCACCACCATGAGAAGAAAGATGTAAGGTACTGGTAAGCCACAATCCAAACTTATAGATTAATAGAAATGGGTTAATTTAAGATATAAGAACAGATAGCAAGAAGCCTGCCACGGCCAAGCAGTTTATAAGTAATATAAGTCTCTGTGTGTTTACTTGGGTCTGAGAGGCAGTGGGCCCCAGCAGGACTGGAGATAACTCCAGCTATACCTCAGGCTAACTCTTCATGTTGTCAGAAGTCCACTAGTATATATATGTGAATAGTAAGGGTTTCTGGTTTGGTCTCTGTACAAAATGTAAATAGTCCAGTTCAGAAAGTTGAACTTCTATGGGTGTGTATATATTTCCTTAAACTTAAATCACTGTAAGTGGTCCATTTTTTAAGAACAATGAAGCCTGGCTATGAAAGAAGAAGAAAAAAAAAAAACCTGAAGATAACAGACCAATCACATCAACGTGGCAGAGATCTTCCAGTTATCAAAGGTTTTATGAAGGTTTGCACAGGTTACAAACTAACGCATTATCATCAAAACTGACTGTCTTCATAAAGTGTGCCAGAGACAGCCTGTCCTCACAAATCAGACACAACATTCCATGGACAGTCCACAGCGCTATCTGACCTTCAGATGTTGTGTCTCCACTCCAGACTCCCAAATGCATGCACAATCTGCTCTCCACCTTTTCTGGGAGTCAGCCCCTCCCACACGCTGTGGTCCAAGCATTGCATGAGACCAGATCTGGGTTCTCCTCCCCCCTTCCCACTGGTCCAGGCAGAAGCAGAAGTGGCACTGAAGACTAATCCTGTCCACTCAAGCCTCGCTGGGTCTGGAATCTCTGAGGAAAGACAACCGCATGGTTCTAACTCTAGAACAAAAACGGCATCCTTCCTTAAACAAACAGTCTGGAAGACTCTGAACCAGAGCAGCCAGCATCACTTCTGGAAACCAGGCACAAAGAAACTACACTTTCAGGTTACATGGCCTATGCTGCCTGAAGTGCTTTTCAAAAGCATATCGCTTTTGTTTAAAAAAAGAAAAATTAAAGAGTTTAAAAGAGAGATTCTGAAATTATAAAAACCAAGAGAACAGTTAGGTAATAAGAACAACATTCAGCTGGACTTTGAGTGCCAGCTCTGAGCTCTGCTAACAAATGAAAGGTTCAAATTTCAGATTCTCATTCAGCCCAGTCTGGAAATACCCTGAACTAAGTCACTCTCACACACACACACACACACACACACACACACACACACACACACAGTGAGCACTCCCAATACACAGTGAGCACCCCTGATACACAGTGAGCACTCCTGATGCACAATGAGCACTCCCGATGCACACACACACACACACACACACACACACACACACACACACACAGTGAGCACTCCCGATGCACACACACAGTGAGCACTCCCAATGCACACACACACAGTGAGCACTCCTGATGCACACACACACACACAATGAGCACTCCTGATACACAGTGGGCACTCCTGATGCACACACACACACAGTGAGCACTCCTGATGCACAGTGAGCACTCCCAATGTGCACGCGTGCATGCGCGCACACACACACACACACACAGTGAGCACTCCTGATGCATGCACACATGCGCACGCGCACACACACACACACACACACACACACACACACACACACACAGTGAGAGGGTGAGAAACTCAAGTTGTCTTGTAACAAAAGGAGACAAATCATGTATGGCAAATATAAGTACCCGAGAAACATATGTTAGATCCACACAGTGTGAACCATCCTGTGTGTGAATGAAAAGTGTAGTGATATTTTGTTTGTGATCTAACAAATACAGCTTGCCTGAAGATCAGAGTGTGGAGCTAATCCACGAGTTAGCCATAGAGGCCAGGCAGTAGCAGCACACACCTTTAATCCCAGCACTCAGGAGACAGAGGCAGACGGATCTCTGTGAGTTCAAGGCCAGCCTGGGCTACACAAGACTGATCCAGTCTAAAGAGAAACAGCCAGGCAGTGGTGGCACACATCTTTGATCCCAGCACTTGGGATCTCATGACTTTAATCCCAGTACCAGGGAGGTGGAGACAGGAAGTGATATGGCTGGATGGAGGGAGGAATATAAGGTGGGAGGAGACAGGAGCTCAGGTCTCTCTCCTTCAGGCTGAGGATTCCTAGAGCTAAGAAGTCTTTCCAGTGGCTGGCTGCTCTGCATCTCTGATCTTTCAGCTTTCACCCTGATATCTGACTCCAGGTTTTCATTAATAAGACCAATTAGGATTTGTGCTACGGAAAAGTGCTTGGGAAATTTCAAGATGTACAAATGTAGACCAGTATAATTTTTGCAATACTTTTGTAAACTAACCAAGTATCCAGCACTTGATAGTTGAGTGTTACGAAAGTATGGGATCCCTAGCTCCAGAATTTCTAAAAATTAAGGCAATTTGTACTAGATTTTCGAGGCTGTCACTTTTACAAGTGCAATTAGTTTAACATAAGATCTGGAAACTGGGCTAGTTCAGACCTCTACATATAGATGATCCTCCAACCTGACAATTCAGACAGAAAACAAAACTAAATTTACTGCTGGACACCAAAAATACTTCCATCAGCAGACAGACACCTTGGTTCTTTACTTTCCAAATCTGCCCTCCTAATTCTTACCTAAATTGCAGTTCTCCTCTTCCTGGACAGAACCACAGTCCTGACCAGTCACCCTAAAAAACAGAACTGTCTGACCTCAGGCCTGCCTCTCCCTCCATCACAGTAGAGCCCACGTGAAACCTGCCCTTCTGCGGCAAGCTTGCCCCAGGGTGGGGGTGGGAGGCCGGAAGGGCTGACAAAGGGCAGAGAGAACACAGAACAGCAGAGCTTGGGAATGTCACACCAAGCATTTCCCAGCCACTGAGCCCACACTGAGAGACGAAAAGGCACGGCCTGCAGCTGGTCCCAGCTTGATCTGAACTCTGTCAAGAGGGCGGAAAAACAGCCTCTGACCCCACATGCTTCTAACTCGCCCGTCCAGTTCTCCCCACGGCCTCCCCTCACCTGATCCTCCACTGTCTCCCACCACACAAGCCCAAAGCCCTTGCTGGGAAGGACAGCTGGACCAGTCCCAAACACTGATGCTTACTGGGCCCTTAGACACGAACCAGCATGTTGCCACTTAAACAAGTGTGTTCACCCCCTTCAGAAGATCTTCTTGCAGCATGCATTTCACTCAAAGGGCTGCAAGGAGTGTGCTACATCCAAACAAACCCACGCGTGACACAGCAAAACCTTGAGTTACTCTGGAAGCAAGATGCTGGTGGAACTTGGCTGCATGACTAGAGTCAATTCTGTCCTAGATGCTCCGAAAAAAAATCTATTCGCCCTTTTCTGACATCATAAGCTCACAATCGGGGACGCACACCATCGTGTGCACACGCACCTAACACTCTTGGCAAATGCTCCCGCGGGGCACATCTCTTTACATGGCAGCAACATCACCATGGCCGCTCCGTGGTTACCTTCGGGCTCTCTCAGCACCCATCTCTCTTTGGCTCTTGCTAAGTTGCTGGCCCGGATCTGGCTGGGTTCTCATCCCCTCTCTCACCTCGGAGTCAGCTTGCCGAAGACTCAGAATGCTAGAGTTTGTGAGCACTCTGGAGCGACTCACATGCAGAGCAAAGCCACCTCTCAGGCGGCCCGGTCAGAGCAGACTCTCCCTGTTGTCTGTTCAGATGGGGCGGCTGAAAGGGAAACGGACAGGAGGATGGGAAACAAGAGTTCCCCAACCTAGGACTAGACCCCACAGGAAACGGTTCACACTACGGACACACCAAGAGTTTACAAGTCTAGGCCAACCTTCTGGCCACTGCCCCCTTGTCCACGCAACGTGAGCATGCTTATAGGACGGATCATCCCAATGGCCGCCTGAGGGACACAGCTAAGCCAGATGAGCACACAACAGATCTCAACAGCATCTTCTGTCCTGAGACAGGACCACGCTTCGTGCAGGCCAAACAATTCTGTAGTAAAAGCAAGAATATCATCAAAATCAGAGCCAGAAACAGGTCTCCTGGGGTTGGGTCCATGGCATCCAAGGCTGGGAATCATGACCACACCTATCATGCCGTTCTTATATCCTTTATTACAAAAGCAATATATGCTTAACTTAAGCACTACAAAACAGAGATCTAACAGCGACTCTCCCCTGTGTCCACAGCACTCCACCACGGCACTCAGCAGGCCCTTCTCTACGTACATACGAATGCAACATAGACACACTCATAAATCCACTCCCGTGTCAAACAGCAGGATCATGCTACATGTGTTATTCTGGAACCTGCTTTTTTTTTCCACTGAAAATAGGGACTGCTTTGTCATCCCACATGACGCGTGTTTAAAGGCGCAGCAGGAAGGCACACATCTCATGAGAAGAGTAGCCATCGAGCACCATGGAAAGCATTC